GCCCTGCGGCAGGCAGAGCCGGGGGCGGTTTTTACGTCTGTAGCCCTCCCGAGAGCTTCCTGACGTCGTGAGCGGTGGCTGAGGGAGCTGGGGGTCTTCAGCCTGGAGAAGAGGAGGCTGAGGGGAGACCTTCTCACTCTATACCTGACAGGAGGGTGTAGTGAGGGGAGGGTCGGTCACCCAAGTAACAAGCGGCCTCAGGTTGCGTTAGGGGAGGTTTAGATTGGATATGAGGAAAAATTCCTCCACCGAAAGGGCTGTCAAGCACTGGAATGGGCTGCCCAGGGCAGTGGGGGAGTCCCCATCCCTGGGGGTATTTAAGCGACGTGCAGAGGTGGTGCTCAGGGATGTGGTTTGGGGGGGGGACTTGGCTGCCTTGGGTTTACGCTTGGACTCGATGATCTCCAGGGTCTTGTCCAGCCTCAGTCAAATGAAATGAACTGATTCTGTGTACAAACACCTTCCGATGACCTCGGCACCACAGTGACACTCATCATGTCAAAGGACAAGATGGTTCTTGGGGACATTGGAGATTTTTGATTGGCTTAAAAATCCCCCAGCCCTTCTCCAGCGCACAGATACCGACCCGTCTGTTAACACGAGGCAGATCCTCGGACAACGGGATCTCCCACAGCCTGAACCTGTGCACCGACACCTCCCCAGCTTGGCAGGGCAGGTCTTCTGCACCGACAGCTCTGCAGCCGCCAGATCTCTCAGTGCTGTAACACCACAAAACCCCCACGAAAACGGGGGATATTGGTTAAGGTCGGCTGAAGAGAGATGGTCTTGTCAGGTGGCACCTCCAGGCGTTCCAGTGCTGGGAGCAATTCCCAAATGGCACTCGCAGCGGGATTTGTTACCTCCGCCCCAGCTCTGCTGTCCCCTCTTCCCCGTCTGGGTGCTCCCCCTTCACCAGCCTCACCCCCTCTCAAATCAACATGCCACCCTTCATTGTTTTTCCCCATTCACAGAATCATTTCGGTTGGAAAAGACCGTTAAGCACGAGAGCTGTGGTTCCTTGGGGACTGTTGGTCTTGCAAGACTCCTGTCTCCAGGAGCTCCCCATCCCATCCTCCCTCACCTTGAGGTTTCAGTGGTTTTCCACGCTGCTCCTCCTTGACCAGCAGCGAAGCCCAGCTGCCCACGCAGCACCTCCTGCAGCCGCTGCCACTTCCGTCGCCGGCATCCCGCACATCTAGCAATCCCTCTTTATGGGATGGGGGGGTCAGGAGGACGGGGCCAGACTCTGTCCAGTGGTGCCCAGTGACAGGACAAGGGGCAACGGGCACAAACGGAAGCAGAGGAAGTTCCAGCTGAACCCGAGGAAGAACTTCTTCCCTCTGAGGGTGACGGAGCCCTGGCCCAGGCTGCCCAGTGGGGCTGGGGAGTCTCCTTCTCTGGAGATATTCAAGACCTGCCTGGACAAGGTCCTCTGTGGCCTGCTGTGGGTGACCCTGCTTCGGCAGGGGGTTGGACTGGGTGACCCACAGAGGGCCCTTCCAACCCCGAACATTCTGTGATTCTGTGAATTCAGGGAGCTTCACTTCCTGGTCAGGGACCGGTGTTCTGCCAGCAGCCATAACGACATCCCCGTTACAGAGATCTGCTGAACAGTGCTTTGTTTCGGCAATTTTAGAAAAAAAATCCTGCAGGGTTCTCCACGCTTTTAGAAGCGACGGCTGCAGAGTCTCAGCAAAAGAGAAAGTCTCCCTTTAATGCTGTACGCTAGGAATTTCTCTCCATTCACTCTGCTTCAATTAATAGTGGGAGAACAGATCAGAGCGTGACACCATTGACAATAATTTAAAAGACTTTAATGAGAGGATAGGAAAGACCACGGTGACCAGGCACAGCCCGGGCAGAAAAAGGACTGCCCAGCTGTCTGTCCACACGCGCCTGCCTGTCCTTGCCTCTTCGCTTGGTTTTCCCCATGCTTCTTCCTCTTTGATCTGCACCGATCCTCCCCATCCTCGTGGCCTTTTCCCTGAAGCTGGGCTTGTTCAGCCTGGAGAAGAGAAGGCTGAGAGGGGACCTTCGAAATGCCTCTAAATATCTGCAGGGTGGGGGTCAGGAGGACGGGGCCAGACTCTGTCCAGTGGTGCCCAGTGACAGGACAAGGGGCAACGGGCACAAACGGAAGCAGAGGAAGTTCCAGCTGAACCCGAGGAAGAACTTCTTCCCTCTGAGGGTGACGGAGCCCTGGCCCAGGCTGCCCAGTGGGGCTGGGGAGTCTCCTTCTCTGGAGATATTCAAGACCCGCCTGGACAAGGTCCTGTGCAGCCTGCTGTAGGTGACCCTGCTTCGGCAGGAGGGTTGGACTGGGTGACCCACAGAGGTCCCTTCCAACCCCGAACATTCTGTGATTCTGTGATTCTGTGAAGCCTCCTGGACAATCTCTGTTCCCCCAGCAGGCACCGCATACAAAGTTTTACACCTGCCAACCCACCTCCGTACGCCTTTCGTGGCGTTCCTGCTCTCAAACCACATCAGCAGCTTTTGCTACAGGGAAGAAGGTCCCGACCGTTCGCCTCGATGGACCGAAAAGTCGCTGCAGCCGTTCTGCTGCCCATCATCTATCTATCCGAATGATGGTGGGCCAGATATTCTTACGCTGAGAGTAGCCCCCAAGCTCAAAGTTCTGGCACACGGAGTCCAACACGTGGTCGACAGTCCGCATCACCATTTTATACGCACTATGCAGTGATACATACTTTGAATTCACGAGTTGGTGTCCTTTGGTGTTCTGCTTTGTGTCAGGGCTCCAGATCGGCCGTGCCCTCTGCGCCTCGCAGTGTACGCACGCCTTGGGGTGCGCCGCTTCCCTCTTCCCCTCTGTAGCTGGATTTGAGGGTGGGGGTGCAGCCATGGGTTCAAATGACACCCCAGGGGTGCAACGTGCTTCTGACGTCACCCTATGGGAGGTGCCCCGACTCCGAGGCGGGGGGAGCGCGGTCTCCTGCTTTGCTGAAGGACAAAATGCCCCACACGTTCTCTTCGCGGGGTTCTCTTCTGCCTTGGCAAGGGGGACAGTGGGTTTCGAAAGACCGCAGGCGCCAGAGGGACCCCGAGGAAACGCCAACCTCTTGCCAACACGCTTGCAACGCCACATAATTCGCTTGGATCTGCTGATGATTCGCCCGATCTGGGATTTTTGGTTGGCCAGCCTGTGAAGCATGGACGGAGTCCTACGAGTCAGAGGAACAACTTTATTAACTCTGTCCTGATAATGAACCCTTTGCACCTGACAGTATTCGTGGTCTTTAAGCGCTGAGACGCCAGCCTCGTGGTCCCTGCAGTAGTCGTGTTCTCTCAGAGGACACAGATGCGGGGCGCAATGCCAGAGCTGCATCGCACTCATCGCGTAGTAACAGTGGTCTTTCAAAATGGTCTCGTTCAGCTCCTCGGCAGACAGCTCCCCGTTTCCCTGGAGAAAAGTCTCTTCTCCCGAGGGGCGCTGACCTTGTCGGGGACTGTCCCGAAACCTCTCCCCGGGGTCACCGTGCAGACTCTCCCGAGGATCCGTCTTTTTGTTCTGCTGTTCCCTCACTGGATGAAGTGGGAATCCTCTGCTTTGGGTGACGTTTGTCTTGACCCCTTGTTTATCCGCTACTTCTCC